AGGACAGAGCATCCGAGCACAAGTACCTCTGAGAGCCGCACTAACAGTTCTCATCCAGGAACCCTATGTTAAAGACGTCGGTGTCAAGCTGGAGTAGAAGCCATGGGGACAGGCAGCACAAGGCTGAGAGGGAAGATGACCAGTGTGACGGGCTGGGGTGGCTCAGCCATAAGCCATTCCTTCAAGTCCCTCAAACACAACCAGGTAAAACTCAGGACACAGACAGGTAGCCCTGGCAGGGAAAGGCACTTCTAGAAGCAAAGACTGAATTTGCTCCTTTGTAATTTGAGGCTTAAGGGTCAGAAGCATAGAGGCATCTTTTCTGATTAAAAAAAAAAAAATCCTTGTTGAGGGGAGGGAGGTAAAAATTATGACGGTATTCAGGGGTGGTGTGTTGGGGGAGTCCCATTTCATGCATTTACTGTGTCATGTATCTGTGGTCAAGTCTTTACTGAAAAGATAGAGGAGAGTCATAAGGATACTTATTATACAGAATAAAGTAAAAGTCAGGAGGATAGGATATTTCTCAATTTGAATAATTCTCTAACTTAATATATGAATTTACTTTCAAGGAAAACGTCACAAAACCCCGAGAGAAATATATATGCTCTCACTCTCAGACCACCGCCAGTCTGAGGAAAAGTGTCTGACTCAGACTCTGTGACTCTAAATTAAAAAGAATCACTGTGAAAAATTAATCTGGCAAGACAATCCTTCATCTACACATGAAAACACAAAATTAAAATATTCTCATAGAATTCTGAAATGCCTAAAACTCCTAGACTTCTAGGCGTTGTCTGTAGCTCCAAGTCTGAAAAACGCTTCTTTGGCCCAAGAGTTTGCAGCTTAGTGGTCCCAATTCATGTATAAAAATAGCTGCCTGTGGTTTGGTTCATGAAATTCATATTATGAACTTTTTATCTAAAGTCGCCATTCCATGCCAGCTGTTTAAATGCTTGGTCCACAGTAGGTGCTCAATATAAATGCATTAAATGAATAAATGAATGAATCCATTCTAATGTGTCTCACTCTAAGACCGTTTTCATTGTGTGTGTGTGTGTGCGCGCGTGCGCACGCGCACACACACACACACACGTTTTCTCCTGCTGCTCTTCCCTAGTCTTTGACCTCGGAAGACAGGGGTCAAATCAATAGTTCAAACCAAATGCCAACACCTGGAGGCAGCAGGGGTACAGCCCCCGGTGGACAGTGCACAGTTGGGATGCACACACCGGAGACACCTCACATCCTTTGTGAACAGACACGAACTAGGGGCGCACCTTTCAGAAAGACCGTTGATAGCTAATGCTGCAGGTGGCCCATAATGAAATTACAACCTCTCACCTCACTTTTAGGAGAAACAGGACAGGGAACACAATCTATAAATAAAAAAAATTTGAACTAAGTAAACCAATTCTTAATTCCCAATAAAAAAAAATTAAGAAGCCCAGAGGATGATCAGGTGCCCCTAAGGACAGGAACCAGTTTGTGGGTTGACAGCCAGCACTGCTCATGGGTGAACTCAGAGCTTGTCACCAGCAGATCCCTTTTTCTGGCAATAAAGATCTTTTCCTGGAAAACTGTGCCCATGTCAAATCCTTGCCACTTAGTTTTTCCCTGTTTCTGCTAACCCGTGGCCCACTTACATTCAAGACTATTAAAAAGTTAAAGGAGAAACCTTAGGAATCTACACATAGGATTTGGGGTTAATTTCTTGAAGGTGAACTGCAGCTTGCTAAGGCCAGTTTCTTTAGGACACCAGAAACTACTCCTTCACGCTTGTTGATGAGAACACGAGGATACCCGAACAAGCGGAATCTCCTAGTCTGCATCCTCCCTCCGGAGCTGAAGCTGTGCTCCGGCGTGGGGCCGGGAGACGGCCGTGCTGCTCCTTTAGCCCGCGTTCTACGCTCGCTCAGCTGGTCGGGGCCTGAGGGGCGTCATAAGGCCCCGGAAGCGTGTTTTCAGGACAGCTTGGGCACCAGCATGCTCTGTGTAAACTATTCTACTCTTCAGATACACAAAGCGCAATTATTTAAAAGGAGAGAAGGAGGAAGGAGAAAAAAATCGTGGAGGTTAGTCAGGAACTCTCCATTCATTCATTGTAACTTTCCTGCAACCAATAAAACGGGACCTTCAAATCGTTTGCCTTTAAATAAACGTTGTGGGGGTTTAGCTACACAGGGGTGAGGGGTTAGGGGAGAAAACGGAAGGGGAGAAGACACTCACCTAGTTCGGGTGCTTTGCTTAGCACAAATGCATAAGCCCAGAATTTGCTGACAGGTCCATTGTAAAAACTCTGGTCACAAACTGAATGCTTCAGGCCTTTGGTCATCAAAATGTACACCATATAAGCACCAGTTCGAAGAGCACCGAATATACTTCATAATGAAAAGAGAAAAGAAACAACATTCAGGAGAATAATTTCACTTCTGACATTAACCGTTCCTAGAAGACTGTCACGGGCAGGAGACGCGAGGAGGTGAATCACAAGCACTTGCATGTACCCAGAGCATTTAAAAATGGTTTGTAAACAGGAGGAGTAAAACTCAGTGCTGTATCCTGAAGGCCATACATATGCCACTCATTCTTCATCAATGTTCCAAAAAGAAGTCATGGAAAAAGGGAACAGATCCAAGGTAGTATCTCAAGAACGCTGATGATCTCTGGGTTTCAGCTTGAGAACTATTCCTTGGGGATGAAATGGAGTTGGCTGAAAACTCTTGGAATTATCTCAGTTCCTTTGTCCAATCATTCTCCAAATCCCCTGGCTTTGTTCCTTAAACCTCTCTCTAATCTCACAGAAGCCAGAGGAAGAAGGCTTAGCTCTACTGTCATCCCTCCAGAAGCCCATCCAGGTTCAGTCCTCCGAGCCCCACAGCCATGGACTAACATGACTCAAATGCTGTTCTTTCATGCCCTGTTACGTGTTTGTCTTCATACAGGCATAGGGGCGCAGAGATTGCTGAAAAACTGAGAGATTGTTTAACAGTAAACTGACACATGGAATTTTTATCGAGGAACTGCTAAGGAAACAGGAGAGCTGTTAGATGTGTCAAGCTTGATGATGTAACATGAAGTATGAGAGCACCTGGCAGCTGGAACGCGCAGCTTCCCTTACGGAGTGAACCCCATGGGCGTAGGTCCCAGGGTTCGCCAACTGCACGCATGACTGAAAGGACAGACAGCTGATCAGGCAGGAGATGTGCCTGCCCTTCCTTTTTCTTCTTTAGAAACCCTTTTAGGTTCTAAAAGTCAGTTAGGAAATAAACTATTGAACAACTACTGAAGTAAGTAGCAGCCTCAGCCAATAGGGAAATGGGAGCTTGCTTTCTTTCAGAGGCACTTTTATTTAAAATGTCCTAAGTGTTGCTCCAGATAAGTCATTCCAGTAGGCTACCCCGTCCATAAACGTACCTCCACTAAGTGAGGATGAGGGCATGAGGAGGTCGTTTCAGAGCACAGCAGAATAGAACGTTCAGGTATCACAGTGACCCACAATATTGCTGGTAACAAGTACAGAGCACATGTTGTTGTCCCATATCTGGACACAAGCCCCACTCCCTAAGCTCTGAACAATGAGGCTGACTCAGAACAGAGGACAGTGCAGTTTTTCAGGGAAACCCTCAGTGCCAGCCATTGGGCCGACGTGTCTGAAGGCAAAGGCGCTTTGTTAGGATGTGACAATGCTACTGCTGGGAGCCGGCGGGGAGCTGCTTGGCCAGCGGGCTGATTGTTATTTGTGGGACGCCAGTAGCTCTGTCCCTGGCACGTCTCAGCCACTGTACACTTTGGAACCATGTGGCTTTTTAGGATGACTGGGCACAGGGCCCTCAGACTGTGGCACTTCACCAAAATATACCTGAAGGGAGGAGACTTTTTTTTTTTTCCTAAGTTACATCTTGATGTGATGCAAAAAAACAGATATGCAGCTTCTGTTCTGCTGCCCCTAGTCCTGACTGATGCTCATGGCAGACATCACTAATCAATTCTGACACACTTCTGGCTGTGCCTGTACCCTGTGCCAACCACTGTAAGACACCACCCATGAACGAGAGTTGCAAATTCCCATCACAGCTCTCACTAGTTTCACAACAGGTTACTTAACCTAAGTCTTTATTTGTCTGAAATGGTAATAATATCTAACTTGTAAATTAGTTCTAGTTCTGTGAACTTTGTAGGACAAATTAACTAAGATATTTAGTTAGCCTGGAGCCTCTAATATACAGGTGCTGAATAAAACAGTTTTTATACTATTATTACTATTATTAAAGTGTTTTATGGTTAAGTGTTTATTGTTAGATATTTTATTTCATGAGTCACCTTTTCACAAAATAAGTGCCCATTAGCAAGTTCACAATAGGATGTGAAATGAGCATTTTCCATAGAACAGCTTGAAGGAGAGATTGTTGGTATAGAAGTTTCTGGTTCATGTGAAATTCATCTTTTGATCAGATGATAAAGATTATTCAATCTAGGGTCTCAAAGAGGCCAAGAGTCGGGGCCATCGTGTTTAGCGAGGGCAGGTGACTGAGGCCTCACACACCTCTTCCCAGCTATAAGGTCACTCTAGTATCTTGGTTTTTTAAAAAAATGTATCATTTTTCTCACCAAAGTCTAGTTTCAGTGATAACAGTTAATGGAACAGGAGAGGGGCTGTGGAGAGAGCAGTGGACGTTTCTAAACTCCTTCAGCAACGGTAGGCACAACGCAGCAAGGAGTGCTGGAGGAAGCCACAGCCCTGATTAACAAGGTGCTTCTTCTCTGTCGCATTTTCTGGAATTCCTAGTCCAGAAGAAGCCTGCTTCTTCATCATTAGCCATTTGCCGCAGCATGTACTCAAGGAGGTGCCAAATATGCATGTATCATGTAAACAGATTTCAAATTCTGACAGAAACAATTCATGGTAATAAGCACCGAGGTCCTTTCTAAAAAAGTTTGAGAGATACAGCTAATCTTCCTTCAAACCAAGGCTCTGACCATGAGGTCTGACCATGTATTTACTTGAGAAAGAGTTGAATAACTCTACTCCAGCCTTGCAACTTTAGCGCCATCTGGACGTCAAAGCGGACACCCCAGTAATGACGGTAAGCACTCTGGAATTCCGCCTCGGGAGAGGGCGCCTCGGGTGTATGTCATCAGCAATACTTCCCCTTGTTTCTGCACGGACAGGAATAGTTGGTAAAACCACTCTTGCATTGCTCCCTTGTTGGCCCCCGACTAGACGTTAAGGTCTTTTGGAATCAAAACGAGGTTTCTAAAGGACTTTTTATTCTGTAGTGCCAACCACCCCGACCCCTCCTCCTTCTGCCCTCACTAACTCAATAACCAAAGGGGCTATCATTTCCAGGATTGGGCAATAAAAATGTTGTATTACACTTGTATCCTATAATCAGAAAAAAAAAAATGTGAGGTTTTGTCAGTGGTCAAAATATGGCGATGGCTGACCCAACAGTAGCGACTCTTTATAAACATGGGAGAGGCCGCTGGTCTGAATCTGACAGTTCCCAGAGTAGGAATACTCAGATCCCAGAACAGGTTAAAGCAAATTAACCACCACCAAAAAAACCCAGTGTAAGGACTCTGCACTTGGCAGGTGATACAGAGTGACCAACGCTTACAATGGGGAATAACAGCACTTTGGGGGGGGTAATGAACCAGCAGTTAAACGGGGATATATATGTATTGTAGTTGTTTAAAATTTACTTCCTCTACTCAACGACTCAGAGTGTACAATTTCACTTTTTACTGAGTGATCATTTCTAGATTTGACTCATTTATCTTGATTGGAATCTTTAATAGGATCTCTCCATTAAAAAGTTTGAAAAATCCCTTGTGGATCAAGACACATGAGGCTAAAATTGCACATTACATATACCAAAGCTGAAAAGACACACTTCTTTTGAAATCTCGCTGTTTGTGACAACATGGAAGAACCTTGATGGTTTTATGCTAAGTCAAACTGAGAAAGACAGCATATGATTTCACTCATATGTAGAATATTTAAAAAAAACAAAACCCTAATAAACTAACAACAAAATACATGAAGAACCAAACCAAAGAAAAACATGCGGATGCAGAGAACAGAGTAGTGGTTACCAGAGGGGGAGGGTGAAATGAGTTAATGGGAACAACTGTATGTCACGAATAGAAACTAAAATTTTTGTGGTGGGTGTGCTATAGGGTATACAGAAATGTGCACGTGAAACTTATATAATGTTATAACCCAATGTTACTCCGATGTAAAAAACTGATTTTAAAAGAGAAGAAAGAGAAAAAATATATTTCTTTGACCTAATAATTCTATTGTTGGAAATACAACATACCCTTTAGGTATACTAGCAAAAGTACAGCAAGTCTTGTGTTTCACGATATCAAAAAGATGGTTAGGACATAATGTAAATGTCCTAAAATAATTGACATTAGAATGGTTAAAAATGACCATGAACACAATACAGCAATAAAATGTACCTGGTACATTTGCCTTAGGTGCTGACACTGAAAGGCTCCTGGATACATGATGATTAAGTGAAGAAGATAAGGAGCAGAACATTCTGTATAGTATGATCCAATTTTTGTACATTTTAAAAAGGTAACACACACACATACTGATAGTTATAAAGCATTTATAAAGTAAAATCCCTCAAACTGTTAATAATCATTCCTAGTGGAGTTTTTACAACATCCATGTATCACTTGTTTTCCAGACACTACTAGAAACCTAAATTTAAATCATTTTGTAATATTTGTAAGCTGATGTCAAATAATCCTTGGGATTTTTTGTTAATAAAAATGTTACCTTAAAGGTCTGACTTACTTAGATTAGTAACTCCTTTGCTTTTCGGAGATCAGATACGTTAGATGGAGCTTTTAGTTTGCAGGGGAATCAGCCAGCCAACAACAACCATGACAAGGAACAGAAATAATCAGTTAAACCTGAGATACATGGTAAGCTAGAAAAGTGCTGAGTAGAAAAGCTGAATCTAGTTTAGAACAGGAATGGAAGGATAGATAAGGCCTCTGGAGAAATATTATTTAAACCCTGAGGCATGGAGTAGCTTCCAGTGCATTTCTTGTAATGGTCTCTACTGTTAAATATCACATACGATGATATTCACCAGCTCCTAGATAAATTATATGCCGTATGTTGCACGTGGAGTCTATAAGAGCTGAAGTCTTCATGGAAGGAGCTGAAGTGAGGAGGGTCCCACAGCACAGACAGAGCTGCCTCAGTGGATCATTTGGTCCCCTGACGGACAGAAAGAAGGCGGGCGTGCGCGCTATGACTGCTCTCTCCACTTACCGCAAATCCCCTGGGTAAGTCAGAAAAAACTTCAGCCTGAAACAGGTGTTCTTATGAAAAGTTTGGTAAGATGGGTTC